TAATGTAAATATTCATAAATAACTCAATAATAATTCTTTATTCTTAAGATTCTTAAAACATTAAATCTTTTTTGCTTTGCTTTTATTCCTTTACTAACAAATTTTTGATTAATTATTTATATATAAAATATTATATATATTCCTATTAAGTATACTCTTTTGAACTCAAAATTCATTTAATCATTTCAAAATTATACAAATGTTTTCATTGAGGATAAACTTTAATCATCAGTGTGCCAACAGAGACTGTAAATTTTAAAGTTTGTAGCTGACAAAAGAGATATGATCTTTCCAAAAACACTTTTGAATAATTTTGAAAGTAATTAAATAAATTCTGACTTCAATAAATCTTTCATTTTATTTCCTATGTATAAATTTATGTTTTCAATACTTCTTTGTATTTATTACACCATATATTTTCTTCTAAACACAATTTTTGATTTAAAGTTTAATAATTTCATATTTCAATAACTTTTCTGTTAATTTTAACATTACAACAATGAAAGTTTGTATTTGTTCTTTAAATATATACACAATAAAAATCATACATTTGTTTAGTATGATGAAAGATTTATTATCAATAAATCAATCTGTTTTAAAATCTGAAAAACAAAACAGAGTCAAAATTACAAAAAGTGTATCGAAGCCTTCTCATTTCAAAATTTTATTTAAAATTTCAAACAAATATAAAAAATATTTTAAAATAAATTAATGTTTAAGTTTTAAGATATTTATTATTTTTTTGTTAGTGATTATTTTAATACAATGTTTGAAATAAATGATATACAGTAGAACGTCGATTATCCGAAAGTCAATTATCCGAAAGAATTCCAGTCAGCAAATTTAAATTTTCACCAGTGCTGTGATGCTTCAATCTTTGGCTATGTCTTGGGCTACTCAAATATTTTACATTTTTGATACTAAATAAACTACTGAAGTATAATTTTTTACTGTTTTTATATTTTTCAATATATTTATTTTGTTTGTACAAAATAAAAAGATAATTTTTAACGATACAATAGTCTTCGTTAGGCTTAACATTGACAAAAATTCAACACGAAGCAACACGCAACAGAAAAATTTCAACATGGGATAGGTTAATATATTTCTTCGTACATAATCAGTTATCCGAAATATCGATTTTTCTGAACAACCCCAGTCCCCAATTGATTTGGATAATCGACGCTCTACTGTATTTGAATACAATAGAATAATAAATTATGTTATTTATTCTAATAGTTTAATCAATATACCATCGTTTCTTGTTTGTTTAATAAATAATGTGATGCAAATAAATGTTATAAAAGTATTACATATCAATTTATTAACTATGCATTTTTTTTTTCAACCAGTCTTAAATATTAATAATATTTTAATTAATTTATTTGAGTTCAAATTTTCAATAACTTATCAACTTACAAATCAATTTTAATTAAAAATCCATTAATTATGTTTAAATAAATTATGTTTACATATAATTTGATAACATTCATCTTTCAGGTAAATCATCTAGAATCTTTTAAGTGATTGTATATAAACTGCATACATTAGAATTAATTAAAATATTTGGAATCAATATTGCAATAAATCTAATTGTTATACATCATAATAATTCTATTGTGGTTTATATATAATTTAGTAATTTATTGAAATGCAAAAAAATATTTTAACTTTTATCTTTCAAGAAATATAACATTTTAATGTGCAAATGGTTAAAATTCCATTTCACTAGGCAAAATGCATTGTTATTTACAATAAAACAACATGATTATATTAAGAATAGACAATATTGGAAAACAATTTAGATATAAAACAATGCAATTAATAGACTTGTATATGGAATTTAAAGCAGATTAATAAGTATCAAACAATGAATAGGATATAAATGTAGTACAGTAGAGCATCGTTTATCCGAATCAATTGGGGACTGGGGTTGCTCGGATAACTGATTATATACGAAAAAATATTAACCTATCCCATCCTGAAATTTTTCTCCGTTGCGTATCGCTTTGCATTGAATTTTCGTCAATGTTAAGCCTAACGTATACTTCTTAAAATAATAATCGTGGCTATTGTATCGTTAAAAATGATTTCTTTATTTTGTACAAAATAAATATATTGAAAAATATAAAAACAATAAAAAATTATACTTCAGTAGTTAATTTAGTATAAAAAATGTAACATATTTGAGTAGCCCAAGACATAGCCGAAGATTGCAGCGTCACAGCACTGGCAAAAATTTAAATTTGCTGACTGGAATTCTTTCGGATAAACGACGCTCTACTGTATTTTGATATATGTTCATAAAAAGAGAAGAATGTGTTAATTCAGTATCTTTTTTAAAGATTGGATAAAATATATCAATTCCACAATGTTGCAAACCTTTCAATAGAGCAAATAAAAGAACTAGCATCATCTGAAAAAGTTAATGTTCTTTATTATTGCTCCATGTTCTAAACTGAAAGTTTGTTATTCTCATTGATCAGCATATCACATCAAGAATAAAGTGAATAAAAATGCTGCCAATCTAGATGCTGTATTTACCTTTTCAT